ATATTCTTTTCTGCTTATTACTCTTTCAGGAAAGGATCTATCCAGTCGTAGTGAAACAGATCTTAACTGTATCTTTGGGAAGAGGGCTAAATCAGCAAAAGTCCAAGATCAGGTAAGAGATTACACCTATTTACATCATTCAGAATTAGAAAAAAAGTTGTTTTGAGACTTCAATATTATAATTTATAAAAACATTCGTTTTTATTTTTATTAATCAAATCCACTTAGTTTAACAAGTTAAAAACAAACTGTCCTTTGGCTTTGCACAAAAGCTTTGTAGATAGTAATTCTAATCCAGTGGGTGCGTTCCTAAAATATTAGTGCAAGGGCACAGGACTCTGATCTTCCTTAACCCCGTCAAAGTCAAGCGTGCAGTCCAGCAGGAGATGCCGCACCACTGGCCCAGCTGGCTTGCACTTATCTGTGTCTCCTTGGTAATTCCAAATGATTATTGGTTGCTGATTCTTCCTTCCATCGGTAACTCTGGTATCATCTGGTCCTTCTGCTTCTGCGGGGTACGGCTCCTTGAGCAGCCCGTGGCCCTAGATTAGCCGTGTCACAGCATGCAGCTTTAACACCTCTAACAGGCCACCGATGGCAGCAAGAGCGCCTAAATCCAGTTAAGGGATTTGCACTCTTACCCCCTACTCCTCTCCCTCGCACTCCTGCTTTGCTGTACTTCTGTCTCGAAGCGTCACATCAGCTAGTTAAGAGTGCCAGCGGGCATTATTAAAGGAACATCAAAATTGCAGTGAGGTGTGCAGAAATCTGAAATGATGACGCTTGCAAAAAAAAGTTTCTTTTTTGCTCTTGGCATTGGTGGGCCCATCACTTCAAACGTCACTTTGCCATTTGGCGTTATGGTAGGTCTCATGCTTTTGGAACATGGTTTACAGGCTCCTGCGGGTCAGAGTTGTATTTCGAATCCAGTAAGAACCTTTAGCTTACATATCAAAAACAAAATGTTATTTATGAAATTTGCCTGCATCATCTTTCTATAGATTTTTAAATAAGTTGTCAAGCTGTTTTAATCAGAAAATCAGCTCAAGTGTTTATCTGTGGAGGTATATGAAGCCGTACTTATTCAAACTCACATCAAAGATGTCATTTATTGAAATGAAAGACAGATGAGTGAATTATATAGTTAAAAATACATGTACATAAAAGATGCTATTAAAAATGATCTAAGCTGATTAATAGAACAGATTTACATGCACAGAAGAACTGGAAATTATTAAGCACCCACATAACTTGTACTTTTTATTATTTTATTATGAAAAAAATAACACATTTAAAAATGTGCAATAAAAACTTTTTTTTGTTGTTCTTAGAACTTTTACTGGCCCAGTAGAGGGCCAGAAGAACAATAACATATCTAGCTTTTGGACTCCAAGGCCCAGAAAAAGCCTCTTGCTGGCTTCTTGTGTTTATCTCGAGCATTTGGCTTGAAGAAATTGGCATCTTAAATATCCATAAATTGTACAAAATCCACCCTGCCCTATTCCCCCAGCAGGTGCTGAGCCATAACATCACAATGGCAGCTGCTCCCCAGCTGATTAACACTGGAAATGCAAGCAATACACACCATATTTTTTCCCTCTCTAAACGTTTGGTTATGGGTTGTTATTTTACAGCCAGGAGGGACACCATTGACCATATCGAAAACACTCAACACAATTACAATGCTTTCCCATGAGGCCTTGTGTTGAAACCCAGCAACATCTGAGGTTGCTGGAAAAGAGGCAAAGAGGGTGATGGACCAATCGAGCTCTAGGCATTTTGCCGAATCTCCTGCGAGAGTGAAGGCGACGCTGCCAGTGACCCTCAGCTCACACTGATCTGTGCTTACATTTAACTGCTGTTGCTGCAAAAGTATAATATATGCTTGCAGTAATCTCAATGCCCCATGGAATTGTAACCCTTAGTAGCGACGAGCTTTGGCTTGATGGTGTAGTTGATTTGTAGTGGCTTGCAGAAGCCACTGCCACCGGTCGCATTATATCACATATCTGCATCGTGACAAGGTGAGGCCAAGAGACTTTGACCAAATCTGGATCGGCTTCTCCAGACCTGCCCTCCTTCCCCCTCATGAATCTTCCAGCACAATCACACCCACTGCTGTCTCTCCGGCCTCCTTTCCACCAGTTCCTCACTGCTGGTGTTTTCCTTCCTTTGCAGTGATGTGCTTCCTGCTCACCTCTTATCGCGGCTCACAACCCTCCCTGAAGTGCAGACAAGCGCATGCGCACATGCACAAACACGCAGACACACACACACACACAGTGTGTACACATTCAGCTGTCCCAGATGCCTCTATTCATCAAAGATGAGAATGTATTGGAAACAGTATATGAGAATATTTTAATTGGTTATTTACAGGGAGCAGCAGCTCTGTTCCTTTAGTGTTAATATTAAATGTAAATATCTTGTTCAGAGGGTAGAGCTCTGTTTAAGGTAAAAATTTATCTTCCAGGTTAAGAATGTATTTATTTTAAAGCTGTACATAATGAAAAATCTGCATGTGTGTTTTTTTTTTTTTTTTTCTTTTGCAATTTTTTTTACTGTTATTTTTGATATTTAAAAAAATGAGAAATGCACATGAAAGCTTAAAGGAAACTCATACTGACCCTGTTTCCTGGCATAGTTCAGCAGATATTTGATCAGACCGTGATTAAACAAGCATTTTTGTGTCAACTTTAATTAACTGACAAGTGATTATCTGTGATTAAGTATGCTGACAGATGGGATATCATAGTGAAATGCACATTCCTCCCTCCTTTCTTACAGTGTATGATAGAGCAGGGATTAGAAGCACTGTTTAATTTTTTTTTCTTTTAATTGCATGTACAAACATGTAGTTGAGCATGATTGTAACTTAATTTTACTCGTGCAAGAGTATTTCCTAAGATCGTGTTCTTAGAGAATCTCCCATGTCATCCATAACCAGTTTTTATGTAGCCACATGAAAATATGTGCTTAAAAAAAACAAAACAACCTTATTTACTCTGCCTTACTGTGAGGGTTGCGGCGTAGCACCTGTCTATCTACTTACCTCTCGGTTATCCATCACCCATCCCACGCTAGCAACCCGCCTCCATCTCCTGCCTCCTCCTTGTGCCCCTCGGTACAATTACTCACCGCATGACAAATGACAGGCGCTCTCTGCCGAGATATCAAAAAAGCCCCGGCCACTTTTAAATGAAGGCACTTTGGCAGCGCCCTGCTCCCCGTTCTTATCGGCAGGCAAGCAGTGCCCCTGGCCGTCTTGCGTCCCGCTCTCCTTCCTCCCCCCTCCTTCTCCACCACCCCTGCTCTCTGTGCCCTCCTCTGGGGGTTTAGTTAGGGGAGCCACATGGAGGGCCAGCCCAGCTTGATTTATCTCCCTTGCCCCTCTGCCCAGCCACTCAGGCAGGCCGAAAGAGCCAACGAGGCTCCAACGGGCCTCAACTCGAAACCCCGGCATTAGCTGAAATAAACCATTCTGCCGCCCAGTGAAAAATGTCCTCTGATTGGCTAATTAATCAGTCAAAGGGGAGCGACGCGGCTTGTGACTTGAGGGACCCAAGCGGGCGACCGCAGAGGGCCTGCTGATAAATAGACTCCCCGCCGATTCATACATCAACAAAAGTTAGTCATTTTTTAAAGCCGCCAGCTCAGTTGAAAGGTGGAAACAAGCCATAGTTTTATTTTTCCACCTACATTTCCTTCTTCCTTTCTCTTTTTAAGGGAGTGGGTGGTGGCGGTAGTAGTAGTAGTAGTAATAACAATAATAATAATAGTTATGATTTGATGCATTTTTAAAACCACTACTAGTTTAAAATTAAAGGGAATGAGATTTATTATCATTATTATTTTTTTATTATTTTAATCTTTCATATACTAAAGTTAAGACGCGCAGCATGATGGAAAAGTTTGGTGCTTGAGTTTTCAATTTACCAATTTGAAAACTAAAAGCTTGGCTGGTAGTCATAAGAAAAAAGAAACATCTAAAGATTACGGTTTTATATTAACCGTTATGACCACTACAGACATGACAGTTGTTCCAACATCAATCCATTCATTAGTTCTGTACTCCCTAAAAGTGTCAGGGAAGAAAAATGGTGGCGAATAATTTAGTGCGATCCTTGTTTTGACGTCTGACTCTCCAGTCAGACAGTAGGCATGGTGCGCCCTGTTCTTGGGTCAGCGCGACCCCTGCGGCCTCTCCCACTCCCACTCGTGCTCCGGCACAAAGGGCTGAGGATCGGGCGGCACCTGTTGCAAGTGTTTCCTGCCCACGCGTTGTCCACATGAAGGATCGCGCTTCAGCAGGGGCTCCCCCGATACTGCCGTGTTAAGGAATATGGGGCAGGGGTGACACGGGTGGCTCTTGAGCATTTGGAAGATGCGATGCTGAAGTGCCAGGGGGGTCGGACGAAACTTTGCTGATGGCGCAGAAGCACGATTTCTTTTCAGGACCTTTTTTTTTAAAAATATAAATCTATTATGCTTTACAGCTTGGTACTGAGGCCAGTGGAGAGTAAAGTGAGTTAAAAATGACCAGGAAATGTGGATGCTTGGTCATAGAAAAAGCCAGAGTACCAGCTGTACTTACGGCATGTAAGCAAACTGAGAAGTTATCTTTCATATCGTGTAATTTAAAGAGACTATGTATAGGCCATTGTATTGTAAAAATGACATTGTAAATAGAAATACAACTCCAAAAGTCAAGGATTTTTTTTTTTTTTTTTGACTCACTTTTCCATTAATATGCAGAACTCAAATGTTGAAAGGGGATGCCGGTGTAAACGTGCATTGTCGCAGTGTGTTTGCTGCAGTTTTAAACAGGGCGGTGCATTCGCGCAGGCTGCAGGGCTCATTGTGAAGCTGGAGAGCTCTAATACATTCTCAGATAACATCTAATTGCTTCGAGCAAAGCATTGCCTTTCTTGAGCATTTTTGTTGACAGGCCCTTTTACACGACCGCCGAAAATATCAAGGCCCGCCAAATCCCCCAAAGACACACACACATCGCATTTGCCACTTTACCTCCCTGGCAGTTGTGTGGATTGCTCTCATGCCAGCTCGCTGACACTTGCAGATTAGCGTGGGACACAAAAAAAAAAGGAAAAG